GTTTACTCATTTAATGAAAAAAAAAATCACCAAATGTCTTGCGTTTGGGGCCAAGTGCAACGTACAGAATTGAAATCGAACATGTCATCGGAACTCTTACCTGAGGGCAGTGGCGGAGAGGACAACAGTAGGCACTGGACACGGATGCTTGTGACAGGACACCGTGCGGCCGTCCAGGGCGGGGGAGGGGCGGCCTCCGAAAGCGACGTTCCCACGCGGGGGGAGGCGGGAACGGGTGGCAGGAGAGAGAAAGCGGAAGCCACTTCCACACACACTGGTCTAGTGACATGTAAAACACGACAGGCTGAGAAAGGTTAGAAAAGTAAAAGATTCAGCCCGCACGCGAGGGACCCCGGACGCATCACAAAATAAGAGGCAACTCATGAGCCTGAAGTCCCGCCCCTGCTGGCCCCGTCACTCAAACGGTCTACAGTATCAAAACGAGCTCGTGGCCTATTACACTGCCAAGGGTCAGATTGGGCCAGAATTCCATCCAATCATTTAAATATAAATAAGCTTGAAATGACCTCTGAGCTCTTTCCTGCTACGCTAACAATTTCAAAACCGTTAGATAAATGCATAATCACCGAAACAAACCAAATGTCAGTTGCTTGTATATATTATTCAGTTGAAACCTTAAATTTCATTAATCGACAACAATATGTGAAGAAAGATTATCCTCGAATAAGAAGTTTCGTATTTATTCAACCAATAAATGAGGAGGGGCCAAATATTTAAATTATCATTTGGTTCGTGCATCTTTTAAAAGTATGTATAATACCTCGCTAGTCTCTAATCTGAGAAAGTTTCGTCATAGTTCATGCAGAAATGACTCCAGGCTTTACTTCCTCCACGATTCTGGGCTTTAGAAAGAATTTCCTGGCTACTTACTTGTGTATCTTCCTCTCCATCCTAAGGCCAGCGTTAGTCTGAGATTTGCGATATTACTCTAAGCTCAACACTGTTCCTTGTATTTTCAGTGTTACGTGTCTGACGTGAATATTTATTGTAGGCCATTTCCAAAGGACAGCACGCTTTGTGTATCATACTCGTGAGAGAGTCGACAGAGACCTTAAGATGCTTCCAAAAGTCTGCCATCTTGAACTCGTCATATTCTGTCCAATTTCATTCCACATAAGCTTTAAGCAACTACGATGAGCCTGACATCATGCTGAGAACTGGAGACTCAAAGAGGAACTAAATGAATTCATGCCTCCAAGAGAATGAGTCAGGAGAGGGTACGCTGGCCTCGTCAGTGGGGACATCGGACTAGTCCGTGCACATGGAAATGAGTTGGTTACTTAATTTTTCCCACTCTGATTTCTAACAGAACAGCTAGGAGCGATAGACACAAATTAACCGTTTGTTTGAGCTTCTTGTGAGCCTGGGCCTGGGGAAGGTGGGGAATGAGTACATCGTCACAAAACAAGGGGGTGACAGTGACATGAGAGATTGTGCCGGGAAGATATGGGACCTTTACTAACAAGATGGGGAACAAAGTGAACTTATAATATCTAGAGCGGAAGCTTCGTTCCACTCAGCATATCCAGGAGAATCACTCACTTATCGAATTCTCCATTGTACAAATCATGAAGATTTTGTTCTTCGATCTTTAGATATGTTCATTTCAACAGGAAATGGACCTTCGCTCTCTGTGGAGCCATCACGGCCCTGGAGGAGAAGCCCTCCTAGTCCCTGCGGCACTGGTCACTCACTTTACAGCATCTCTTCTCTGTCCTCAATGCTTAAAGCAAGGTCGACAAACACAGTTGACGGACTGGGGTAGCCCGGCACTCACGTACTTGGCGACACTCTGCGTGCCTACCCTGTGACTTCAGAACCCAACACGACTCATTGACCATACAGGAAAGAATGGGTAGCTCTCGAGCAGACCTGTCAGGAAGACATGAGCTCGAATCGGCACTGGGCGGTTGCAAGGCAGAGGTGGAGACGGTGGGGTCCTTCCGTGTGTCACCTAGAGAGAGGAAGGGGTGACTGGACGATTAAAAAAGAGAGCCACCCCATGCCAGGTTTGGATTATGACCAATTTTATTTCATAGCTTCATTGTCGGGCACTTTATGGTAATGTGTAGTTCATCCAATATTTATTTTTGCATATTTTAAAAAAATTTCCCAAACAGCACTTTTAGACACAATGTCCTCCCCTAGTAGTCAAATGTCGAGATGATTTACACTGCAGCCTCGAGGATGCGAGAGCAATGAAGCGGTCGCCGTGCTGGGTGGTCGGTCTTCGCCACGTCCTAGTGAAAGGCTCGACCCTTTGAAATAGTCATTCCATTAAAGCCAAAGAAACAAGCTTCGAAGAGTCCGACGTTGAGCCTCTCCCGTACCTTTTATGCAAAAAAGTCCTTATGCCTTTTAAGTCGTATGCATCATGCAGTTCATACTTGTTTGCTGTTTCAGGCGTGGCTCTGAGTTCTAGATCACAGCAGATTGCAGAAATCTCATGTTTGGTATACGGTTTCTCAACGGTTCTCGAAATCACGCGACGGAAGTGACACCAGCTGAAGGCCGGTGGCTTCCGCCGGCACAGAGTTCTAATTCTGCCCTGCCCTTAACGTCACTCGATTGGCCAGAGGTGGTTTGTTAATGTCCTTCAAAGGCTCTCACCTGAGAACAGAAATCACAGTGACAAAGAGACTCAGAGGTTTCTCACGTTAAAGAGGTAATCTGTGTGTGACTTCACGACCTTTGAAGACAGACGATTGCATATTTTAAATTCCTTCACTACGGTATGATTTGGGAAAAAAACAGAGCTTCCTGGACAGATAGCATCCAGGTACCATCCTCGCTCAGTACCTTGTTTATTATTACTATTAATTTTTTTTGGTATATTTGCATATTGCATCCAGAGCTACAGATTCTCCACAGTGCTTTTCTGCCTGATTCAAGTATAATAAAAGTAGAAATCTATAGAAGCTCTAAGGTTAAACAAACTGTGCATTATACAAAAATTAACTTGATTTACAGACAGTCAAAAGTGTTGGCAATGCCCTTTATAAATCTCACCAAAGATTCGTCCCAAAGGCTATTACAGTCTGTATATGTGGTCATCACCGTGCGAATGCCAGTTAGATGTATGTGGCACAGGCTGGATATTGGTTAGACGTACATGGGTAAAATCAGCATGTTGCATTATATACATTTCTTTTAGAGTAGCAATATTGTCAATACTAGTCTAAGGTTCAAGATTTGCTTGTTGCATATTTACTGTTGCTGAGGCAGTTAGTTACAATACAATAATGCAAGATCCACAATTATTTTAAATAAACAAAAACATCTCTCCTGCCAACAATATAAAGAATATTTCCCCCTAAAATCACATAGAACATTGCTACCTACAGTTTTACACAAATATTGAAAAACGTGACCTCACGGCATCTGCTGGAAAAGCAGATAAGCATATTTACATGAACTAAAAACTGTGCAAGGAAAAATATTGCACGCAATCCTATTATTTTCAAAATAAAGTACGCTTCTTTCTAAATACCCATAATTCCCTCCCTTGACCAAATCACAATGTTGACTGCTTTGATCAAAACAATTCTGCCTCTTCGAGAAGCTGCAAGACACAGGCACAGACAAATCTCTGGGCTTGACCGTGGGTAGGACACCGACCCTGTTGGGGCTCACGAAACCCACGTTAG